GTCCTTCCTCGTGTCTATTGTAGAGTCCTAGATTTTATGGCTAAAAAAGAAAATTCATCCATCCTGTGTAAGACAGGCTATAGAATTTCATCCAGCTACTGCTGTATTGAGCTGAACCCCTTGTGTTTGAACAAACCATCTTCCAGAAGGGCAGCCAGCCTTGACCTGGAGACTTCCTGAGATGGAGGAGATGCCTCTTACATTCGTAGTTTGTAAACCTTCACACCAGCCTTACTGAACTATTTCCCATGCTTAGTGCCATCTCAAGAGTTAAGGAAGGGCAGAGTTAAGGTTGTGTTGCAGGTGTGGCATGTATTTAAACTTATAATTTCCTAGTTTTCAAAGGTTTAAGTTTAGCTCCCATCCACATGCTGGGAGACATGAGGCAGCACAGGGCAATGTTAACGGCATGAATGTAGTTCATTGGTATTTAATTACCTTGATTTTTAGTGGATTTTGTGCCAGTATAACTGCGTCTACCTTAGAGCTTTTCCTGACATAGCTATGATAGTTAGCGGTGTGATTTTTCACACCCCCATCTGACAGAGCTATGCTGGCACTACTTTTAAGTGTAGACCGGGAAGACTTTGTGTGGATTTTAGACCACTTAAAAATGTGACTCTGAACCCAAATATTTTGTAATCAGAGGGCAAGACTTCCAAGGTGAACTTCTGCTGAGTGCAAGAAAAAAGGACAACATGCATTGTCTGAAAGGTAGCAGATGTGGGGCTCAATCTCACATTCATGGGGGTAGCTCGGGTTCACTGACCACAGCCAACCCAAAGCAACAAGGGGGGGCCACCTACTAACTGAGATCGACGCCAAGTGACTGAGCTCAATCGGGGGAAATCAGAACCGTAGTTTCAGCCCCAGCTGTGTGCAAGCAAATGTTACAAGAGCAAGATGCTTTTGTAAAAAGCTACTCGTATGTGTGGGAGCTGTATCTTAGGAACCTCTTTAACAAATCACCCCATCTTTGGACCACAAACTCTTCCTTGAATGCCCATGAAAAATTTGCCCAACAAATTTCAAGACGTTCCAAAAAAACCTGTGGAATTTAGGGTAGTTAGAAAAGTTGATCTTTAAACAAAAAATAATATTTCTGTCGACCTAGCAATTGCCGCTGGGGAAGGTGGATGACCTACCCTGACAGGAAAGCCCAGTGTCTACACTAACTCCCTACAGCGCTAGAGTTGCAGTGTCTCAAGTGTAGACAAGCCCTGAGATACGACATTCAATGACACCCCACGTCCCTCCTATTCCTCACTGTGCTGAATCCCACCAGCCCATGCTCACCGGTCCTGGCTCTCCTACAACTCCCCCGTTCTCTCGGGGTTTCTCTCTGGGATGAAGAAGCAGGTCCAGGGTAACTTCCCCTCTGGCTGGGGCCTTAACTTCTTGGAACGTGGAGTTCCTGTCTCTGTGTTTTAGGAGCCCCTTTGCTGAGCAGCGTCTGGCTGGGTGTGTTCCCAGCAGAGATGGGGAGAGTTAAATCCCTCATACGCAGAGTTTCCTGCACCTGGGGAGCTGTCCCCAGCCTTTCCCTGCTGTAAAATGGGCTGGGGTTAAAGTAATAGAAACGTCCCATGAATTCCCCTGATCTCCCTTGTTTTCTCTCCCCTGAGCAGGGTGTCCAGTTTCCAAACCTGATGTGATCTCCCACCTAGAACGAGGGGAGGAGCCGTGGGTCCCGGATCTCCAGGGCTGTGAGGAAGGAGAGATCCCCAGAGGTGCCTGCGCAGGTGAGGGATCATTAAACCAACTCAAAGCTCTCAGGGCCTGAAGGAAACAGCTGGGAGTCCCTAAAAGCCTTGTGAGC